CCCAGCACCATTTATTTAATAGACTGTCCTTACTCCAGGTATTGGTAAGGCAGCAGATCTGGCTGAAAAGCCCATGAGAGTATTTCAGGCATGGAAAGCCAAGACACTCTGGGGAAAAAAAAAACCTAAATGAAAGATCTCCACGAGTGAGATCCCAGTGGAAAGAACGGGTCATCAAAGAAGGAGGTACCTTTCTCTGAAGGGAGGAGAGAACTTCCACTTTGACCATGGCCTTGTCTAAATATGATCAGAGTCAGTGAACTCAGGGGGCTTCCATAGCCTTGGCAGCTCATGACAAGAGCCTAGGGTGATTACTGATGCCATAAACAAGAGTGTCAATTTGTTAAGTCAACAACAGGAGTCACTGTGCACTTACTCCTCATGTAGGATCTCTGTCCTTAATGTGCTGTACATTGTGATTTAATGCTATAACTAGTACTCAAACAGTATTTTTCACTTTGTGTTTCTATGTGGGTGCAAACTGTTGAAATCTTTACTTACTATATGCTAAACTGATCTGTATATAAAGAGAATCGAAAATTAATCTTGATGTGAATGGAAGGGGGGAGGGAGAGGGAAAGGGGAGGGTTGCGGTTGGTGGAATTATGGGGGGGGGGGAAGCCATTCTAATCCATAAGCTGTACTTTGGAAATTTATATTCATTAAGTAAAAGTTAAAAAAATTTCAAATCCATACATAGTTTTTAATAATATGTATTTTTTACAAACTTTCTGAGGACAACTCATATACTCCAAATACAGTGCTACTCTAAGACACTACTCCTGTTTCAGTGGGCAACCTTTACCGAGTGTCCCTTAGTTCATCCTTCAGCCTACTGAGTGAGGCTGTTTATGTAAATGTTCAGTGACTAATTTATGAGCTGCATTTAATTCTTTTTTTTTCTTTTTTTGACAGGCAGAGAGGACAGTGAGAGAGAGAGACAGAGAGAAAGGTCTTCCTTTGCCATTGGTTCACCCTCCAATGGCCGCCGTGGCCTGTGCGCTGCGGCCGGCGCGCTGCGGCTGGTGCACCGCGCTGATCCGATGGCAGGAGCCAGGTGCTTCTCCTGGTCTCCCATGGGGTGCAGGGCCCAAGGACTTGGGCCATTCTCCACTGCACTCCCTGGCCACAGCAGAGGGCTGGCCTGGAAGAGGGGCAACTGGGACAGAATCTGGCGCCCCGACCAGGACTAGAACCCGGTGTGCCGGTGCCGCAAGGCGGAGGATTAGCCTAGTGAGCCGCGGCGCCAGCCAAGCTGCATTGAATTCTATTTCTGATCCATAATTCACTCCTCAAATTCAGCTTCCACCAAAAGTTCTGCCAAATTATGAAGACTCTGCTTGCTTTCCTTTAAATACCTTTTTTTTAGCCTGGGAATATCTTGATCTTTTTAAAGTATTTTTTTATTTATGTAAGGTGAATAAATTTCATGTATTTCATATTCACAGACTTAGGAGCACAGTGATACTTCCCAGCCTACCATCCCTCCTGCCCATGCTCCCACCCTCCCTCTTCCTTCCTTCCTTATTCTTTCTTTTAATTTTCACAATGACACACTTTCAGTTTATCTTATAATCACAAGCTTAACCCTCCACTAAGTATTCAACAAATAGTAAGAAGAAAAAAATATGATGTATTTGAATGAAATTGACATTTTGAGATTTAATTATTGTTACAGCTCCTGTCTCTACTGTTGAGAAACAGTGGTTTTTGTCTTTATTTTTAAATTTCTACTCATTTTCACTTTATTTCAAAGATGGAGAGCAGAAACAAAGATCTTACATCCGCTAGTTCACTCCCAAATGCCGGCAACAGCTAGGTGCTAGAACAAGGTGAAATTAGGTACTGAGAATTCAATCGGTCTCCCACACGAGTGGCAAGGACACAAGTACTTGAGCCATCATCTGCTGCCTCACAGATCTGCCTGAATAGGAAACCAAAAAGCAGAACAAAACTGCTACTCAAACCCAGACACTCCTTTACGGGATGCAAGCATTCCTATGGGCATCTTAACCGCTGCACCAAACATCTGCCTCTAGAGGCTGTTCTATCAATGCTCTCCCGGATAACTGTGTTTTCCTAGTTGCAAAAACTAAGAGTCTATTCCTCCTGTCTTTGACTTGTTTGTTCATGGGTGTGGGATGGGGTGGTGGTGGAAGCATTTGATGCTGTTGACACCATGTTCCATTTTGAGGGTCATGGCATCCATGGTTTCTGTGGGGTTGCACTCAGCTGGTGTTTTTCTTAGTTGTTCTGTGACTTTTCCCCACACCTCTTCTTTCCTGAAATATTCCTTGAGTTTCTCTTCTTGCCCCACCCCCCCTTTTTTTTTTCCTAAGCTCTAGCTTTGGCTGCCTGATTCACTTCCAATTTCAAATGGCTCTGCCCTGAGAAAGCACTGCCTCTTAAATCTGTATTCCAAGCACGACCTTAACCCAAATTTCCAGTGACTGTTGGACCTCTACATTCAAAAATCTTGGTGGGTGCTGGCATTTGGTGCAGTGGTTCAGTGAACACTTGGGATGCCCATATCCAATATCAGATTACCTGGTTTTAGTCCCAGCTATTCCACTTCCAATCCAACTTCCTGCTAATGTATGCCCTGGAAGGAAGCAGGTGATGGCTTAAGTACCTGGATCCCTGCCCTCCATGTGTGAGACCTGGACTGAGTTCTGGATACTTGACTTGGCCATGGCCCAGACCCAGCTATTTGGGCAACTGGAGAGTCAACAGCAGATGGAAGATCTCTCTCTCTCTTCCTCCCTCCCTCCCTCCTTCCCTCCCCCCACCCACTCTCTCACTCTCTCTCCCTCTCCCTCCCTCCCTATCTCTCTCCCTCCCTCTCTCCCTCTTCTTCTTTCTCCCTCTCAGTTAAAAATAAAATTAAGTAAAAGTTTTAAAAAGGACACATCCACACTGAAAACCCAAAGTCTTTTTTTTTAAAAAAGATCTATTTGTTCATTTGAAAGGCAGGGTTACAGACAGAAAGAGGAAGAGAGAGAGACAGAGAGAGAGAGAGAGAGGGAGAGAGAGACATGCTGTTTCACTTTCCAAATGGCTGCAATGGCTGGGGCTGGGCCAAACTGAAGCGGGAGTCAGAAGCTTCTTCCAAGTCTCCAATGTGTGTTTAGGGGCCCAAGCACTTGGGACATTCTCTGCTGCTTTCCCAGGTGCATTAGCAGGGAACTGGACTTGAATCAGCACCCATGGGATGCTGGCCACCACAGACAGCAGCTTTACCTGCTGTGCCACAGTGCTGGCTCCAGAAAACCAGTCTTGGTGGCACACCAAGTTTTGCAAAGCAAGATGGTGAACGATTGGTCCCATCTGGTTTCTCTGTTACTTACCTCCTGTCACTTATCTCCTCCTTTATTCACTGCTCTTCAGCCACTCTGGTCTCTTATTTTCTTCAAGACATGTCAAGCTCATTCCACCCTCATTGTCTTTGCAATTTCTGTTCCTCCTCAGAGCCCACTTGCCCTGGTTCTCCACCCAGCTGCCTCCTCCTGACTCTTACCTCACTCAGCCACACGCCAGCCACCCTGTCCCACAACATTCTGTTCTATTTATTACTCTATGAATGGAGTCATTCATTGTATACTTGAATGTAGGTTCTGTGGTGTCAGAACCTGGGTCTGTCTATCTCACACTGGAGCCTTAGCACATTGCACAGGGTTGGCACACATTAAACATTCCATTAATGAGTTGTGCATGAGGAAACCAGATTTCTGGTCCTAGATCTGTTACTGAGCAGCTGTGAGCTCTTGAACATCAGCTTTCTCATCTGTAAAAATATGAAGCTATTTTCCAATCATTTTTCCCAAACCATCTAAGAGGTCCCCATAGATAGTGTTAGGGTGGGGAAGTAATGTAAGGAGGCCTGGTTGAGAAGCCTCTGGTACTGTCCCATCTAATGGTACTGTCCATTCCCTCACTAAGTATACTTTTATTTAGTTGTAAATATTGGATTTTCACTTAAAATTTCATTTGCAGAAGGGTGCTCCCATGAAAATTAAAAATATTTGATAATTTTAAAATAACTGATCTGACCCTTTCCATCGTAAATGATGAGTGTGTCTAAAGCAGAACTCATCCTTTCCGTCCTCTAACAAACCAACTTAAAGCCCATTTATTACCATTTTTGGTTTTATCACATAAATTTAGAACTTCAGAATTATTTTTGACAGTTCCTCTTTCCTCCCCCACTGAGTACAGTAAATTACCCAATTGCCTTCCTCATCAACGCCTTATTTCCATTCCCATTGTCTGAGTCCTGGGCCAAGACCAGATATCCTCTTTTCTGGACCATTGCAATAGGCTGCACACTGTCCTCCCTGCCTCCTCTCCCCCCAAAATTACTAATTGGTACAGTCTTTTTTTAAAAAAGATTTATTTATTTGAAAGACAGAGTTGCAGAGAGAGAGAGAGAAAGAGAGTTAGAAGCTTCTTCCAGGTGTCTCACATTGGTGCATGGGTCCAAGCACTTGGACACAGGGAACTGGATGGGGAGTCCAACAGCTGGAACTTGAACCAGAGCTCATATTAGAAGAAGGTGGTGGCTTTACCCGCTATGGCACAGGGCTGGCTCCCTAATTGATACTTTCTCCTGGGGAGTTTAAACCCAAGATTTGAGGGAATCCACAGGTATTAGAGCAGAAATGAGTGAGGATAAACAGCGAGGGGTGGGGGGGCAGAAGCCATGAGTCAGGAGTTATAAGGGGATAGAAACCAGCAAGCAGAGAAAAGAGGAAGGGGGAAGGGGAGCCATTGGCAGCAAAGATAGAAGTGGGAGTGGGGATGGAGAGTGGCTGTGTCACTTGGACAGACACCTGCTGCTGCATCTGCCTCTTTCAGGAAACATTCCTTCCTTCATCACACTGCACCCAGGTCGTCTGGCTTTTTTTTTTTTTTTTTTTTTTTTTCAATACACTGTGACACTTCAATCCGGGAGCAGTCATTTTTACAACACTATGTCAAACTTTTTTTTAAACATGAAACAGTAAAAAAAAAAAAGCGTTTTTTTTAAAACTCAGATATAGAACAAGGATCCCTCAAAATGTTTGTGGAAAATGGAATTAAAATAGCAGATGATTGTGGTGCAAAGAATCTGAGCTCCATGCAGTTGGTAACAATGTACATCTCCCACAAACAATACCTTCCTGGCTGGGACCTCTTCCAGGACAGCAGCTGCGCTCTGCCCTGCCCACTGGCCTCTTTTATCTGCTTCGTTCAAAAGAAAAAAACCTGGGTGAGAACCAGGACTCGGCTCTAACAACCATCCGCGGGCTGGAACTGCGTGTTGAATATTCTTCCAGAGAATTCTGGACACGACACAAAACCTGCATCGCCGGTGAGCGACCCCTCGGTCAGGTTGGGGCAGAAGACGGCATAGTCAAATTGGCAGGGCTGCAGCACCTTCAGCAGGGCCGCTGGGTCCCGGTCCCCGGTGGAGTTGAAGAACAGCACTCGCACTTCAGGGCCAGTGCTCTGCCTCTCCCGTTGCCGCAGCGCCGCGAGGAGGAACCACCGCACGCAGGCCTGCACGCTGCTGGTGGTGTGCGCACCGTCCAGGTACCAGGTGAGGGGCCCCCGCCGCAACACCTGCGTGCGGCCCAGCCACTCCGTGTCCCAAAGCCCATGGCGCATGCGGGCTGTGGGCTGGAACGCGGGAGCCAGGGGCAGCTGCGGCACGACGCCGGGCCTGGACAAGCCATCAGCTCCCCGACATCCTGGTGGTCTTGCTGCTGCAGCCAGCAGTAGGCCAGCTGCAAGGCCAAGGCAGCATTGGATCGCTGGTGCTCCCCCTCCAGCCCCAGGCTCAGCGGCGGCCCGCCGTCCTCCAAGGCTTCCAGCGGCAGGCACAGATAGAGAGGACACGAGATCTGCTGGGCTCGATCCCGCAGCACCGCCAGGGGCCCGTCCGGCTGCAGCACAGTGAAGGCCGGGACACCACGCTTGAAGATGCCCCCCTTCTGCCAGGCAATCTTCTCCATCGTGTCCCCCAGGATGCTGGTGTGGTCGCACACCACCGGCTTCCTGGTGATGTTGGTGCAGTCGTAGGCCCCGCCGATGCCCACTTCCACCACGGCCAGGTCCACCTTCTCTTGGAGGAACACGTGGAAGGCCATGAGCGTGAGGAAGCGGAAGTAGGCAGGCATGGAGACATAGCTGCCATCCTTGGTCTCTTCCAGCCGCTGGTAGAGGCGCCAGAAGTGCTTGGTGAAGAGCTTGTGGCTGATGGGCTGCCCGTTGATGCAGATCCGCTCGCGCACCTGCACCAGGTGAGGGGAGCTAAAGAAGCCCGTCTTCAGCCCATAGTTTCGGAGGATGCGTTCAGTGAAGGCACAGCTAGAGCCCTTCCCCTTGGTCCCGGTGACGTGGATGATGTTCAGGCGGTCGAGGTCCTCCACCTGCAGGCCGCTCCGTGCCAGGTACAGCGCCATGGCTTCCAGCTGTGTCTGGGGGTCCCCCCGTTGGCGCTTCGCCTGCTCCGGTAGCTGGCGTTGGTCTGCAGGGTGTTGAGCATGCGCATGGCATCCTGATACTCCATGCCCGGCTCCTGGGGAGCCGGCCGCGCGCTCAACTCCCGCCGCGCTGCGACCTCTGTCCTGTGTCTTGGCTTTTGATCCATTTTGTATCTTTTGGGACCCTGTGAGTACAAGCAATAGACATTGCTGCTGGTTAAGGATTCTTGGTAGGTCACAGAATTGAAAGAAAATGCGGAGGGAGAGCAGCTTGAGGCATCATTAAATGCACTGCTGAGCCAAGTGGCAGAGCTGAAGAACTCCCTGGGAAGCTTCATTTACAAGCTGGAGCATGATAGGCTAAGCTGGCCCTCTGTCCAGGACAGTTTTGCCTTGCTCTCTGGGTGGTTGAACACTCTGAACAAGGTTGTGAAGCGTGAAAAGACACCACTGCCCTGCACCCAGGTCACCATCCCTCTGGTGTTATCCCCAGACCGAGATCATGATCTCATGAGGCAGACTGAAGGACGGGTGCTTATCTTCAGCCATCAGGTGGTCCCTGACCATCTAAGAACCAAGCCTGACCCTGAGGTTGAAGAGAAAGAGAAGCAACTTAAGACACATGCTGCCTGCATTGGTGCTGATGCAGCTCAGAAGCAGATCCAGAGCTTGAATACAATGTGCTCAAACCTTCTGGAGAAAATCAGCAAAGAGGAGCAAGAATCAGAGAGTGGAGGTCTCTGGCCAAACAAGCGGACATTTAACCCCGCAGACACCAATGCCCTGGTGGCAGCTGTTGCCTTTGGGAAGGGGCTGTCCAATTGGAGACCTTCAGGCAGCAGTGGTCCTGGCCAGCCAGGTCAGCCAGGAGCTGGGGCCATCCTTGCAGGAGCCTTGGGACTACAACAGGTGCAGATGGCAGGAGCTCCAGGCCAGCAGCAGCCAATGCTTAATGGAGTGCAAATGGCTCAAGCAGGTCAACCAGGGAAAAAGCCAAGTGGAATAAAAACCAATATCAAGTCAGCTTCAATGTAACCCTACCAGCGGTGAGTGTGGCCAGCAACCTCCATTCCCAGGTGCTCTTTGCAGAATTGGGCAGTGAAATTATCCTTTATTCAAGACTCACCTAATTGGGTACAATAAAAAGAACATGGGCTTTCTTTTTTTCTTTTTCCTTTTCAAGATTGATTTATTTATTTGAAAGGCATAGTTACAGAGAGGCAGAGAGAGAAAGAGGTCTTTCATCTGTTGGTTCACTCTCCAAATGGTCGCAATGGTTGGAGCTGTGCTGATCTGAAGCCAGGAGCCAGGAGCTGTTTCCAGGTCTCCCACGTGGGTGCAGGGGCCCAAGGACTTGGGTCATCTTCCACTGCTTTTCCAGACCATAGCAGAGAGATGGATTGGAAGTGGAGCAGCCAGGGCTAGAACTGGTGCCCATATGGGATGCTGGCACTGCAAGCGGCAGCTTTACCCACTTCCTCACAGAGCCGACTCCTAGAATATGGGCTTTCAGCAATAGATCAATTGCAGCACCACTGCTGACTATGTGGGCCTTGACCAAGTGAACTAACTTTTAGGAACCTGTTTTATCATTTGTAGATGGTAATAATACCTACCTCATAGGATTATTGTAAGGATCAAAATGAGAAGATGAATTAAAACTACATAGTGTATGAAATAATACATATTTAGGGGCCAGCGCCGTGGCTCACTTGGTTAATCCTCTCCCTGTGGCGCCAGCATCCCATATGGGCACTGGGTTCTAGTCCCAGTTGCTCCTCTTCCAGGTCAGCTCTCTGCTGTGGCCCGGGAAGGCAGTGGAGGATGGCCCAAGTGCTTGGGCCCTGCACCCCATGGGAGACCAAGAGGAAGCACCTGGCTCCTGGCTTCAGTTCAGCATAGCTCCGGCCATTGCAGCCATTTGGGGGGTGAACCAACGGAAGGAAGACCTTTCTCACTCTCTCACTGTCTAACTCTATCTGTCAAATAAGAAAAAAAATACATATTCAATAAATAAGTTTCTACAGTCAAAAAAAGAAAAGCTACACCCCTAGATTTCAGGAAGGATTCAGGTGCACAATCAGGAGCAAGAATCCAGATGTCCTCTGAGTCATCTCTGGGAACGATGCTTCATAGCTGCCTGTATCTTCTATTTCTCCACACAGGAGTGAATTCCAGGAACACGGTTGAGGTCTCTTGACAGACATCTGTTATTGGTCATCCATGATGGGAACGTGTCAGGTCTGAACTGGATAATCCCACAGCACAGTGACCCTGTTGGATAAAAAAGAGAGGTCCTTCAGCATAAACTCAGAGGCTTTAACTATAAGAGAACTTCTATAAACAAGCAAATGAAACAAAACAAAACAAAATCAGGGTTTTATTAAGAATGTTGCATATGTAAGATTATTTACAAAGTTGTTTTTGTCTCCATCTAAAAGGAGGCAAGTAAAGTATTTTCCCCTTGAGGGCAGGGTTTCCACTTTACTTCTATCTCATTCTTTAGTAATCACAACATTATTATTATTGGTGTCTAATGATTAAATTAAAATGCATTTGAGTGACAAAGAGAGAAAGGGAGAGAGAGAGTGAGAGCAAGAGAGCATCCTCCTATCTACTCGTTCACTCCTCAAATGCCTGCAATGGCTAGGACTGGGCCAGGCTAAAACCAGGAGCCAGGACTTGCCCAGGTCTTCCACATGTGTGGCAGAAACCCAAATATTCGAGACATCACCATGGTTTCCAGCATCTAAACTAATAAGAACCTGGAGTTAGCACACTAATGTAAGGCAAGGATGTCTTAACCGCTAGACCAAACACCCACACAAAATAGCTGATATTTTCTAAGCACACACAGTGAGCCACATATTATACTGAGTATCTTACATCATAATCTCATCTGATCTTACCAGCAGATAGCTATAGTACTTTTATCAATAAACTCCTTTTATAGAAGAATAAAACTCAGCTCAAAGAAGTTAAAAACTTTCGAGAAAAACACAGCCAGTAAAAAAATAAAACCAGAGTTTAAACTGATCTGTGTAACTTTAAAGTCCAGGCACTTAACTACTCTACTTAGAAACTTCACAGTATGCAAATGATTGACACTTATTTCTAGTAAAAATAGTTTCCGTGCTTATTCAAAAGATCTTTTACTATTTCATGGAGTCCTGGACATAGCTACAACCTAACAAAGCTGAAGAAGAACTAGAGGAAAACTACTGAGACAGCAGAAAAATGGCGGTGGAAAGAAAGCCTGAAAAATAATATGCCCTTCAATGTGAAAATTTTTGAATTATGTGATCAAGTCAACCTGAACGTTCATGGACTAAGGGGCTTCTCAGGTTATGGAAAATAATTGAACTGCACATGAGAACTTTTTGTAGACTGGAAGGTGCCATGTTAAAGAGGGCATGGTAATTTTTACTCTAACACATAGATTGAGCTGTAAGTAAAACCAACAAGTGTTAAGTAAAGTTCCACTCACATGTGGGTTAAGGTACTTTAAGGCCACACCACCTTCTCTGGCAGTTGGAGGTCGATGGAGTTCTCTCTATAACCTAACCCCGCTGACTGGACTGGAGGTAATGAGCTTGCTTGACTTTGTCATCCTCATGTTCTTAGAATGTGACTCCCTCATACTCAGCAGACTCATAGAATGGCGGATGTCCTAAACAGCACTCTGGCCTCAGAATCAGCCCGATCTGGCTGAAAAGCCCATGAGAGTATTTCAGGCATGGAAAGCCAAAACACTCTGGCAAAAAAAAAAAAAAAAAAAAAAAAAAAAAAAAAAAAAAAAAAAAAAAAACAACAACAACAAAAAAAACACCTAAATGAAAGATCTCTGTGAGTGAGATCCCAGTGGAAAGAACAGGCCATCAAAGAAGGAGGTACCTTTCTCTGAAGGGAGGAGAGAACCTCCACTTTGACTATGACCTTGTCTAAACAAGATAAGAGTCGGAGAACTCAAGGGGCTTCCATAGCCTTGGAAACTCATGACTGGAGCATGGGGAGATTACTGAGACCATAAACAAGAGTGTCAATTTGTAAAGTCAACAACAGGAGTCACTGTGCACTTACTCCTCATGTAGGATCTCTGTCCTTAGCGTGCTGTATATTGAGACTTAATGCTATAACGAGTACTCAAACAGTATATTTCACTCTGTGTTTCTATGGGGGTGCAAACTGTTGAAAGCTTTACTTAATGTATACTAAACTGATCTTCTGTAAAAAAAAAAAAAAAGAATAAGAAATGATCAATTCCCAACTTGACTCTTACTGGGATTAAACATGACAATAGGTCTGATCTGATTTCATCATCATTTAAAAAATCATCTATTATTTTTCACTTTATGTTTCTGTGTGGGAGCAAACTGTTGAAATCTTTACTTAATGTATGCTAAACTGATCTTCTGTATATAAAGAGAATCGAAAATGAATCTTGATGTGAATGGAAGGGGAGAGGGAGTGGGAGAGGGGAGGGTTGCAGGTGGGAGGGACGTTATGGGGGTGAAGCCATTGTAATCCATAAGCTGTACTTTGGAGATTTATATTCATTAAATAAAAGTTAAAAAAAAAAAAAGAATGTGACTCCCTCACCACCCTGCCAGGAAGTGAAACTGCCAGCCTTTTCAAGCTACTTCTGGACACAGCCATGGTAGGACAAGTGTGTGTGAAGACATCGAGTGAGTCATTCATGTTCCTAGAATGCAATCCATGGGAGGAACATGAGGACATGCTGAGCAAAACTGAGCCGAGACGAATGGAATGCTGTTGGGTATCTACTTGGCCCTGTTCTGTGTACTGACAGAGTCATGGTCACACCTCATTATGGGTCCCATTGAGGGGACCACAGTAAAGGGTGCCCCATATGGAAGGATTACCCGCAATTAGAAAACATGGCGTTCCAAAGGAGGGGAGTTGCTTCCATGAAAGTCAGTGGTTTCGCCATCTTGGCTGAACTGTCATTAGCATTTGGGCTCTCCTTCTATCGACAGGGAAATGAAATCTTCATTTCTCTCCTTTCATTCTGTGCAACATTTTTAATAAACTTTCAAATTGTAATGTGTTTCTTGAATGGGCCCTTATTAAAAGTGCAGATTCCGTGGGGCCGACATTTTGACAGAGTGGCTAAGCTGCTGCTTGCAATACCAGCATTTCATATCAGAGTTCCAGTTCTATTCCCAGCTGTTTCACATCTGATTCAGCTTTCTGCCAAAGTGCCTGGGAAGTAGCAGATGAGACCCTCAAGTTCTTGGGCCCTTGCCATCCATGTGAGAAACCCAGATGATGCCACAAGCACTTCAGTCTTGCTACTCATATGGGAAACTCAGATGGAGTTCCTGGTTCCTGGCTTTGGCCTGTCTCAAACCTGCAGCCATTTGGGGAGTGAAATAGCAGGTGGAAGGTCTCTCTCTCTCTCTCTCTCTCTCTCTTTCTCTATCATCCTTCCTTTCAAATAAACAAATAACTATTTTTTAAAATGCAGATTCCAGGTTATATCCTTAGAGATTCTGACCCAGTGAGTGCTGGCAGACCACACAGAGACACCTGCTTGCATGTTGCCTTGTTGACCTCTTGAACTTCACTCCTTTTATCTTCTCTGCCGCCCTGACTACATCATAAGTCTTTGAGATTGGGGGATGCGTCTTTTCTTTCTCCAACAGCCTAAAGGTACGCTTCACCTAAAATAATAATCTGGCGGATCTATTTACAATATACATGGGAGTTGCTGGTTAACTAGAAGTGAACAGAAGCTATTCCTTCACACATATCTAGCTTCTGAATTTTCAGGGTGATTTTGAATGGGAAAGAATTATCTTCCAGGAAGAAAAAAACTGATCAGATAAGATATACATAAAGTCTTCCAGTACAAATTCATATAGATGATTCAAAAAACCACTGCAAAAAAGACTATAGAATTTGAAATCCTTTTTTGTTTTCCAGGAGATATTTTTAGTCAGTTCATTTTGCTTAGATCATTAACTGTAACAGATCAAAATATTGCTTCCTCTTGCTCTATACTTTGTTTTTTTAAAAGATTTTTATTTATTTATTTGAGAGGTAGAGTTACAGACAGTGAGAGGGAGAGACAGAGAGGTCTTCCATC